CTCTCAGCGAGTTTCCAATGTATTGTTCTATAACAAAACATTTACGTGTTCATTCAAGTGTCACCACACTTTAGCTTGTGAGATCAGCTACTTACTTCACAAGTAAGAATGCCACACGCGATAGTCTATCCGTAATAACGATATCCGTATCTCGTTATTACTTCGACCACGGACGATTTAAGATTCAGTCATATGTAATTTGTATCCCACAATCTCAACTCCTTGGGATTAACAAATCACTAAGACTTGAATCTATGGATTTTATTATTTAATTTATTAGAATATTAATTTAATTAAATTATAGATATTGCCATAATACCCATTAATAATATATAGTAAAAGTGTTTATGTTCCAAAGTTGATTGGACCTAGAGCATAACACTTACAAATTCTCCATTCAAGGACATGAAATACTCCATGTTCTGTTCTTTTTAAACTAGAGCTCATCATATATATAGAGGTAAACTTGAGGTACACCAGCGTCAATTATCCGTGCGTTACCGTAAGCAGTAGTACATAGAGCATAACTAAAGTTACCTGACTTTGCCTCATCTACGTTCCAAGTGGTTGAAATAGTAGCAAGTGATGCTTTACTTGTTTTTTTAGCAAGAAACTCACTTGCCCAATCAGGTCGACCATGAAGTTTCCAACATTTGTCCACAACATGATTTTTATCACAATGAGTGCATTTGTGTTCATCTTTACTCGGATTTGAACCACCAGATTTAAAGGAGCTCTCTTTCCCTTTACGTGCATCCAATGCAGTGCCACTGGCCTTTTCCTCACTTCACATAGTTTTTAAGTGAACATTATCTTCGCAAATTATTGCATAAACTTCCAGGACAACAGGGAGAGGATCAGAACAAAGCACATGGCACAAGCTGCCTCAAGATTTGAATCTAATCCTTCCAATAAGATGTAAATACGAAAATTTGTAACAGTTGCTAATTGAGTGCACAGATCGATTTCATTCTTGATAAGAGGAGGATTGACAGCATCGAGTTCCTGCTAGATATTTTGTAGTTCTTCATGGAAAGCATCAAGGGTACAACCCTCCAACGGATGACCTAGAGGTTTACTCATGTAAACTTATTCCTCAAGATCATGCGGTTTCTAAAGTAAATGTTCATGAACTCTTATAAAACGGTATGTCTCTTTACAAGTTTATTTTATTTGATGTCCATTGAAAGATTGCAATTAGGGCCGGTCCCATAAACCGAAAACCACAGACCCGACCCGACCCAACCAGACCCGACCAAACCCGAATCGGGTCGGGTTGGGTCGGTTTAGAATAAAAAGGGGTTGGATCGGGTTCCAAATAAGTGTAAAAATTATTTGAGTTGAGTCGGGNCAAGAATTGAGTTACTGTCCACCAAGAACCACCAAAATCATACCACAAATCCTAATCTAAACTATACAATGAAAAGGAACCATTTCACGTGGTTATCAATTGAAGCAATTGGTTGATGATCCACTGTTATTCCATCATCAATTGAAAATCCCCTCAACAAATTAAGCATTTGGAGCAGCATAGATACATCAAATTCCTTAGACTCGAATTTATCGCACAACGCCTGAACTTCAAGCACAAATTTGTCGAGTTTGGGTGGAAATTGATCTTGAGTACCCATGGTATGGTTATGTGCGCCAGAGGATGAGGAAGAATGCCAATGTGGTCCGCGATCATGGGTACGCCAGACTGAGGAGGAATCGCCATTATTTGTGGGCTGCTCCGTGACAGTCGCGACTCGACAATGTTCTGGTGAAAATTCGTGCAGCTGGAGGGATGGTTGGGACAAATTGTGACCTTGGTACTGAGCATGGGCCATTGTCCATCGACCGGTGTAGGTCTGACGTCATGGTTATGGCCGGAAGTTGTGACTCCAGCAGAATAAAACTTTTCAGGCAGCGATTTTTTAGCTGCGATTTCTTCCAATTATGAGGGTGTTATTGCTTGTTGTTGGGTTGTAATAGAAGAAGACGTTAAGGGCTTTTCATCAGTACCTATATCCGGTGGTTTGGGTGGTCGATCGCTGCCCGAAAAAGAGGCCACAAGGGACTGCTAGAAAGGGCAAAAATCGCCCTTTAGGTAGAAAGAAAATTGCAGGCGAGCAGTTTAGTTCCTGGGAGGTTTTGGAGTTTTGGGGATTTGTTTTAGTTTAGGACGTAATTAATATGGGGATTTACGTGATGTTTAATTAATTTAGGTAGAAAGAAAATTGCAGGCGAAGCTGGTTATTGTACCTGAAGAAGAACTTCGCCAACCATTCACCAGAATTAAGGTAATTGATCGAGCCTTTTTGGATTGAATATGAGGGTTTTGGGATGTGAATTGAAATGGGTTGTGGTTGGTTTTGTGTTTCTTATACTTTTTGGTTTAATCAATTCTTGGAACAAGTGAACTGGTTAAAAGAAGAATTATTTTTTTGGCCCTTACTTTTCAGATACAAGATGCTTCCCTTTTCACGTACCTGTTGTTTTTTTAGAGAGGTTTGACAAATGTTGTGTAATAAATTTTGCTTCATGAAGTTGGATTTGAATTGAGAGCTACAAAATCAGTGTATTAATTTGTCGAAAATTTAAATTTAACCTAGAACGTACCCAAAGGCAGAGGCCAAAGGGATAGTCCATTTTTCCCTTTTGAGCTTTTTGTAATACTCTTGCAGCCCAGAACTTTATCTTGAAACTATATAGTTACCATTTTAGCCATTTTCCCCATTCTTTCCTTTTCCCATCATCTCTTTTTTGTCTGTATTGTGTTTTCTAATTTTCTTTTTCTTGGAAATTATACATTTATTTGAATGTGTTGCTTCAATTCAGTTTTCTTTTCCTTTAGTCATAAGTGAAGATGAAATCATAATTGTAATGCAGAATATTTGGAGAAATTTATAGTTAAGTGAAGACATGGAAGTTAGTTAAAACGGACTAACTCAAATTTGTTTATGAGTAAATGAGTGAGACCAAAGTGTATTTACTCTCAGAGAAAAGTTCCGTTCAAGACTCTCAGTTGGACTACTTGAAGCACCTGATATAAACACAGACGAATTACCATCTTTCTGTTTTGTGAGCTTGTCATCAGCTTCATCTTGGAAAGGCTCAAAACTAATACCAGAGACTTTTTCACCATTAGTAATAGGTGTATCGTCAACAGTACCAGAACTTTTGTTTAGAACTTCAGAATCTGAAGGTGTTGCTTCTGGCTCTGTTGAAATTGAGATGGGTGAATTGTTGTCTAATGCGACAATATCACCATCGTGAATCAGTTCGACACCTCAATCTATGCCAACAGACTTTAATGTGCTAACTTCATCATTGTACATCTGTTCTTGTTGGGAGCAAACAAAAAATCCCACATCGGTTGGAAGAAGAAAAGAAATTCACCATATAATCCAAGTGGGCTACTCCACCCATTGTTAATTGGTTTTGGATTGGAACCTCACTTGGGCTTGGTGGTGTGGGCTTTGGTCCGGTCAATTTGCTCATTATTTTCCCTACAACTGGTATCAGAGCCAAGGGTCGGAGAAATGCAGTAAAAAGCGTGGTAGCGATCGGGCTAAAAAATCATTCGCGTTTGAGGTGCCTCATGTCGAAAGTCTTCCTGACATTGGTGGTCAGGTGGCGGGTCCCATTTGGTCGAGGGCAACGGTAATAACGGCGGTACAAAATGATTGGCGAATGGATTATCATTTGAGGAGATGCCACAATGGTGTGGTCCTTCGTTTGAGGGGAGGACTGTTGAGAGCAAACAAGAAGTCCCACATCGGTTGGGAAAAGAAAAGAAATCCACCATATANGGAGAAGAAAAGAAATCCACCATATAACCCTTGTGGGATACTCCACCCATTACCAATTGGTTTTGGGCTGGTACCTCACTTGGGCTTGGTGGTGTGGGCTTGGGCCCGGTCAATTTGCTCATTATTTTCCCCACAACAGTTCTCAACAACAGCAGAAGTTTCATTCAAACATTCCTGACCTACAGACATGGATTCTTGCTCAAGTTTATCTTGATTTTCACTCATTTTTACAATATTTCCATCATGAGTTAGTTCACCTACCATTCCAGCCGCATAAACAGGTTCTGATTATATAACACCATCATCAGCACAGCTAGTTTCTTCAGCAGATATTTGTTTCAAAGATTCAGAATTTACAGGCAGATGAGCCATCTCTTCAGAAACTGGGTGTTTTGCACTTCGATCTGAAGTTAAAAAATCAGTCGAGTCCATTGAATTATTGTAAAAATTTTAAATGTTGGATAACTGTAATATTTAAATTTTCTTTTCATGTTTGATGGCTATTTTGATTTTGTTTAGTTTAATTTGTATGTTTTTAATTTAACTAAATTAATCTTGTTTCGGTTAAATTTTTTACGATATCATGATTTATGAAAATGATAAAACTATTATCAACAGGAACAAAAAAATATTAAACTTTTTCTGATTTGATTTCAGGCAAATAAGGATTCATTTGACAGTTTGAAACTAAATGAAAAAAGGAAAAAAAAAAAAAATTGTTGACCATGCCCGAACCGACTCGGGTCGGGCTGGGTAGTTCCTGTTAATGAGCGGGGCGATTCGGTTTAGAAAAATTGCCCAAAACGGGTAAATTCGGGTCGTTCGGGTTTGAGTAAAAATCGGCCCGACCCGACCTGTTGTCCACTCCTAATTGCAATTGTTAGTTGCACGGCTTGCATCATAAAATTCAACTTGTGTCAATTGAATGTGCAAAAGAGAGAAAAAAAATGCACATATGCATTATGTACGGAAATTGTTGAATTTCTAATTATTTTGTTTTCTTGTAAGAATCGATGCCAATATTTTATTAGGGACTTTTTGATAGGGTTGTCATTAATACATGGAGGAAACTAGAATTTCATTATTGTCCTATTATATATATGATCACGATCATGATCACGATCACGACGATCACGATCACGATCACGATCACTTACATAAACTGAAATTATTTTTTCCAACTATTACAACCATTACTTGACATGATCATGGTATTGCCACAGGTTGAATCAATACCAAAGCTATGGTATCTTTTATTTTGTCTGACGAATGAGTATATTCATCTCCGTCTTTGTACACAGTATGTGAGAGACGTGCAAGATTGACAATAACTCGCTTGAGGAAAGCCATTGGCACAGCAGTTGGACGAAGACATTCTTCGTTTATGACTTTCCATGCGTTCGTAACTTGTTTTTGAATTTTTGCGAACGCCTCCTCTTTTGAGGCACCATTATTTTGATTCATGTAACATCCAACTGCTGATATTTTCTGCTCAAACTGCAAACAGTAGAAGCAAAAACAAAAAATTAGGCCACTGTTAAATCGATTATTGGATTTGTGATATGTTTGTAAGGACCATTATCGATGACAAAAATATGAACTTCTTACCCCAAATCCTACCAAGTCGTTCATTAGCCTACCAATTATTTCTGAACCTTGTAGGATTAATGGATCGCTTGCTACCCACTCAAAGGCTTCCTTGCTCACTAACTCTCCTATGGCTGTCAAAGAAACTGAAGAAAACAATATGTAAGTGCTAGATGGCTTTCCCACTTTCATATATTCTTCCAGGGTCGGAATATAGCCACTGTACACCCATTTCGCCTCTTGAAGATATGTTCTCACGAGTCTTTTCTTCTGAAATTCGAAACATTGATTTAGGAATTAATATATAGCAAACACAACGAGTTTATCTGGTAATTAATTAATTACCTCTTCCATCATGAAGTGAACAAGGTATGATTTCCCTGTCTTTCCCAACTCTTCCTCAATCTCGACATAAACATCTAAAAGAGCTTTGTAATAATATTTCATGTACGGTGGTAGCTGATCAACGAGACTAAGATCCCATCTTCTCATGAAGATATCCATTATCAAATAAAAGTTTAATTAGGTGAATCTTTATTCTGTTTAATAAATTATTAATTATGCTATGAGATAATAAAAAATGCACTGAAATAATTTACCTTTCAATTGCATCCATGAGAAGAGTAAGTTCATCGAGAGTCCCATAAATGTCATAGATGTCATCGACGACAGAAATCATGGCGATTACTTTGGCTAGCATTTTCCTACCATGAGAATATTGGGGCTCAAAGAATACTCCCAATGCCCAAAAGTAGCATTCCACCAATCTATCTCTTGCAAAAGGTAATTTATTTTCAAACTCTAACGCCTTCCACCACCTGCATAAAATTTATTTTCAGAAGTAAGATCTCAGACATGTTGCTTGACATTAGTCAAAACTACTGATGTCTCGGAAAACAACGCTAACATTGTAATGTCGTATAGATCTTTATTTTCAGAAGTAAGATCTCAGACCTGTTGCTTGACATTAGTCAAAACTACTGATGTCTCGGAAAACAACGCTAACCTTGTAATGTCGTATAGCTCCTTCTGATACATCTTTTGCAATAAGTTGAAATCTAATTTTGCGAAATCCAGCAGCGTCTCGTTATGTGATTCATCTTCTTGATAAATAGAAAAAAACTTTCTTGCCCCCAGCCTCGTCATAGTCTTATGAATTGGAAATTCCAAACCTTCCCTAACTTGTGTAGACACAGAATTACTCACATGGAGGACTACGGAATCGAGTTGAGTGATAGTAAACTTCAATGCTTCCTCGAGAGTGTCCTCACCATCTACTCTGAACTGTGCAGCCTCATACAAGCTTAACAAGCCTTGTAAATTGCTAGTCAAATATTCATCGAATTTTCCTTGGTGGTCCTTGAATTTATTGAACACATCTGCTTCAGCCCAAAAAACATGAAATGTACCCTTAAAAAGATGTAGGAGGTGCATCATAACTTTAAGGTACAAAACATTTTCACGTGATTTTTTGTGTATGTTTGTGGCATGTAACAAATTAGGTGCATGTTTAGGTGTTCTGATTATTACTTACCACACGAGACACAATATCCTTGTTGTCTTAGTAATCGAAATCGAAGAGCAGTGATATGAAGTTTGCTTTCTTGTTTGCCACAACTTTCATGGTAAGTGTCGTATATATATCTTAGAGATTTTTCAATTTCGGTTTCAAAATAGTGACCAACTCCAAGACGTTGGATTGCATCGATGATGTCTAGTTTATGCAAAGAATCATCTGGCACTGCCTCTAGCAGATTCTTCACTTCTTCTTTTAGTCTCTGTTGTTCTTTCTCTTCATGCTTCGACACATCCTGCTTTAGTAGAACACTCTACCACATTAATGAGATAATCTTGCAATATGAATAGACACACTGTAGCGTAGCATAAAATAAAATCTCAAAACAAGAAAAAGGTATTAAACTGAACGGGAAAAAAAAAAGAATTAGTTTATGTGTACACCACAAGGTGTACACAATGTTTCACACCTCCCTCACATGGAGGGGGGCCCACAAATATTTTATTGTGTGTGGGCCCCCCTCCATGTGATGTAGGTGTGAAACATTGTGTACACATAGCATTTCTCAAAAAAAAAGAAGTGCGATTGTACCGTGACATGAGAATTATATGCGAGAAAATAGTCGCCCCAAACTGAAGGATGAAATTTGACCGAGCGCCGTGCATCCTCAATTTTTGCATGTTTGGTGGAAATTAAGGGAGCAGCCAATGCAGGAATTTGGGAATTCATTCTGTCTTTTACTTCTAGAATTTGGACAGGAAATGGATTGTTTTCTAGTTCTCATTTTATGAGCTTTAACATCCTATTTATAGTTCCCATGCACCGCCGTAAATGAACAACCTTTTCAACTCGAACTGGTTGGTTCCTATTTGTTTCACAACAACTCTTTGTAAATCCGAATAAGCCCTAATTACATGTATTAAATAACTAGGAATCAATGTAATGATCGCAATAACCATAAAAAGTATCTCCACACTTTTATCCAAATTATTGAATTTTACTCTGTGATCTGAATTTATAATTTACCTCTATATTTATTATAGATTCACAAATCATTGAATTATGACCCAAGTAATTCAAGTAATTCAAAGCATTAAATTTCATAAATAAAATCAACACATATACATTTAACAAGAAGAATCTTAAAAAATAAATAAAAGAATCAGAAATAGATTACATTGTTTGTCCTAACTAATGATCTAGCTACTTATACTAATGAAAGAAAAACAATTAAAGAAATATGAAGTTCTTAACCGGGTTTTGAGATTTGATGTTTCAAATCATAACTTTTTGCTCTTTGCTCTTGATATTCTATGTATATTTTTCTTTAAAATTGCATGTCGCTAATAATGAATAATGAAACCTGTTTGAGACCTCTTTTTTTGTCTCAAATATATTTTGACATAGTAGTTTGATGGAGAATATTTGGTTAAAAATATGAGAGCGTGGAATGTATTTTGAAATAATAGGTACCAAAGAAGGGCAATATATATACAATTAAGAATACTTCAAGTTTCTAGAAAATAAAGAGAAGCTAAATTTATTCTTAATAACTCAATCATAATGTCTATTAAGAAAATTCTCATGATTAACATTTCTACAGACATCCAATCATATAATTGTTTTTCACAGTTCCATTTTTTTTTTTTTTT